AGAGAACTTCTAAAAGCCAAGGAATCTTTGCAAAGAAATGAAAAGAAGGATCCCACAATGGCTAAACATTTTAGAGAAAAAATTAGTCAAATTGAAGTAACCTTCCAAGCATTGAAAAGAAAAGAACAGGAAATCCAGAGTGGGATTGATAAAGCAAAAGGTCGTAAAAAGATGTCAGTGTTTTAATAATCCTGATTATTCATTGATTTTAAATTTATGATGTACTGTATAACAATCTAATACTGTAGCATTGTACGAATTATATAATTTTATTTACATTGCTTTTAAAATTTTGAATAATTACTATTACACTGTAATTGGACAGTATTATTTTATAACAGAATTTATAAATAAATTCTTTATATTTTAAATGCATTTATGCATTTGGTTGTAATTTATACCTAAAATCTCTTAACAAAATCGAGGTCGAGTCAATAAGAGAAACTTTAAAAATACTGGCATACACTTCCTGTAGGGTAGAAAGCATTAACTATTGGCATCACCCAAATATAGAATTGAATCCCTTATAACGTTAAATTTACTTGTTGCCGTTACGTATTTACGAAAAATCAACTACTAATGTTACCACAATTCGAGGGTGCGGTCACATGATCTTCCAGCCATAATCTTTTATTTTTTTCATGAGGGATTTTTTTTTCTAAATTACTATAAAGAGCAAACTTGTGCTAAAACTACAAAAATAAATGGCTCTAAAAAATTTAGTGTACAAAATGATACTGGAAGCCATCACATCGGTACGAAGCTATATAATCGATCTGTAAGCCATTACATCGGTACGAAGCTCATATAAAACCATTACATCGGTACGAAGCTCATATAATCGATCTGTAAGATTTATAATTTTTCTAAACGAAATCTCTAAATTGTACAATAAAATTATATAGAGTAAACGATATTAAGTAGAGTTTATGGTAGAGTTTATGCTCATGAATTAAATTAATGAAATGAAACAATCTATAAGAGGTTTAAATTTGGTTTCTTATTATTCCTTTTATTTGTTGTAAGAAGAAATACAAACAAGGAACAATCAAAATGTTGCTTTTGACGCAGTTTTGCCTATTTAAGCAAAAAAGAAAAAAAAATCTGTTTGAGCGGAATCTCAAAATGTTTTAATAAATAATTGGTAGACAAAATAAGCTACAGTGCGAAACACCTTAAAGCTACGACAATAGCTAATACCTAATGTTTTAAACAAAAATTCTTAACATTCTAAAAAACTTTAATCTCATTTTTAGTTATAAATTATTTTATTTTATTTTTTTATTTTTATTTTTTTTACAAAATTTGCTATATTCGACAAGATTCAAAACTAACCTAACAAAAAGTTTAAATATGAATGCTGCTAAGGGAAAATATAAAATTGAAATCAATTTATTAACATAATGGAAAAACATCCATCCATTAGATATATTAAAGTTTACCAAGATTATTTAAAACATGTTACTGTTGAACTGCTAAAAATTTAAATAATTTATTGCTTCTTATATTCGTTACCTTAGTCGTCGCCATCATCACTAAAATCATCGCTTGGTGGATCATCGTCCTCATTTGAATCATCTTGCGCAATGTCACTTGTATCCTACAAAATAATAGTAACTAATATTAATAAAGCAAATAAATTAAATGAGAATTTCACTTTCTTACCATTTGAAGCGCCAAAGTCGCTTTTTGAAGTAAATTCCTTAATTCTTGATTATTTGAATCAACCAATTGTATAGGACGTTGTTTGTTCTTATTCTGTATTCTTTATGAACGGAAGACAAAATTCAAAAATTTATATAGTATTCATTAAGCTTAAAGGGTCTTAATCTTATCTTACCTCGGGTCAGCACCGTTGTTGACTAATAACTGTACTGCGAAAAATAATTCGAAGACAGGCTTCAATGATAATAATTGCTATATTACACTATGACCATCTCATATTAACATACCAATTTCGAAAGCGACCGAGGGATCATCAGTATATTTAACTGCCATATGCAGTGGAGTTTCAAGCTCAAGTCGATTTTGAGCGTCAATATTAATATCTTCTTGCTGTAAGAGCAAATCAACAGCAGCGAGGGAACCACGTTGAGCTCTAATCAAATTGAATTTGGGCTTTCATAAATGATTAATATTCATAATTGTCCATATTAATCAATAATACATACGCGTAATGAAGAGCAGTGTTTCCTACACTGTCCGAGTAATTTATATCATAAGAGTCAGGCTGAGAAAATATATCCTCGAGAATATCTTCCGAGTCTTGCTTTGCCGCCATCAAAAGCAGCTCATCTTAGATAAATATGTGGTCAAAAAGTGCTATATAAGAGTTTGCATGTTTGAAGTTTCTTCCGATTGCGGATATTTTTGTAAGCCATTTGCAATAACGACTCCATAACTTCTCAAGCGTAGTTTTTAGCTATCATTTGCCTTATGAACCCTTATTACGACAAAGCTTAAAAAACTTACTATTGGTAGCGCCTTCGCTATCAGACATTGCTTAGCGTCAGTCGAAGAAAGTTACTAGTTTAGATTATATATATAGTATCTAAAAGTAATCTCTTTTAGTATCTAGAATCA